AGGTCTGATGCTCTAGGTCTGTACCTAGTCTGCATTTCTGTCAAGCTCCCTAAAAATGCTGATGCTGCTCATCAGTGGAATATACTTTAAATAACAACAAATTGGAAGACAAGAAGGAACCCATTTGAACTTACTTGATTACTTTGTGTGTTATTTACAACCTACATAAGCCTCATAAAATGTTACATAAAAAGAGAGTTAAGTAATGCACTCATTTATTTAAGTATATTAAACCTTAATGGAAGAGGCATGATATAAAAACATATATTTACAAGTATGTATTTATACATTTACAATTATATACCAGTATAGCCTCTATGTGACTATATAAGAAAAAAGAAAGATGTCTGTTTGGTGACCTTCCTTTTTTTTAATATTTATTTTTTAGTTGTAGTTGGACACAATACCTTTATTTTATTTATTTTTATGTGATGCTGAGGATTGAACCCAAGGCCTCGCATGTGCTAGGCAAGCACTCCACCACTGAGCCACAATCCCAGCCCTTTTCATTTTTAAATACACTTAATTTTGTATTTTTAAAAAGTATTGCTTGAATATGTTTAAAAGTTAATACCATTTCCTATCGTGTATTTAATACATTTGAATTTTTCTCCAACCACATTTTCCATCTGTGATTCTCAGTAATAACATATTAAATGTTGTTGTGCTTATTTTTTTAAATGGAACTGTTTTTATATATTAAAAAAAATTAACAGTGCCATCTCCTTACTTAAAAGAATTGATAATTCTAGGAGCTTGGCAGCATTTCAATTAAAGTGTCTCATGTAACACTGGTTTAAAACACGTGTCCTCATAAAGGAATGAGGGTCAACATTTATTTATTATTTATCATATCAGAATGAACTATCTTTATGGAAAGATTTTAAGTTATATGGAGGTACAAGCAAATAATAAACATTTTTCAGTATTTTGTTTTGTAATTGTTCTGCTTTTTTTTTTTTAACCAGAGATTGGATCCAGGGGTGCTTAACCACTGAACCACATCCCCAGCACTTTTTAAAAAAATATTTTATTTAGAGTCAGGGTCTTGCTAAGTTGCTTAGGGCCTTGCCAAGTTGGTGAGACTGACTTTGAACTCACGATCCTCCTGCCTAAGCCTCCCAAACCACTGGGATTCCACGCACCATTGTAGTTGAAAGCAGCCACTGACACCATGTAAACAAATGGACATGCTTGTTCCAAAAACCTTTATTTACGAACACAGATGTAATGCTAGATTTGGCTCATGGGCAGTCATTTGCCAACCTAAGGAGAGAAGAATGCAATTCAACACAAATTACTGAAAACTGTTGAGTTGTCTCTGCATTTATTCTTGCTCCTCCATGTCAGGTATCACAACCTTTTGAAATTTTATTGTTAACATTTGTTTATTGAAAAAAAAATTTGAATCATGTATCATTTTATTTTTATTGCATAAATTTAAAGTGTACAGCATGACATTTAATAAACTTATAACAGACTAATGGTTAGAGTTGTCAAGCAAATTAACATATTGACACATCAGACATCATGTCACCCTTACTTTTTATTTATTTATTTTTTGGTAGTAACACCTAAATGTACCCTCTGAGCAGTTATTCTGCATCCCATACAATGTTAATAACGGTAGTCCTCACATTGTACATTAGATATTTGGACTTCTTCATCCTATATATTTGCAACTTTGCATCCTTTGACCTAATTCTCCATTTCCTTCCTCCCTTGTAATAATTTTTTAAAAATGAAGCTTGACCATGTCATTCTCTTGCCTAAAGCCTTTTGTCTTCTCATCAGCCACAGAGTTAAGTACAAAGTGTGTAAAGGACTGTGAGGTCCATGTCCACCTACAACCTCATCTTGTGTCTCTTTCCCTCCCCTTCTCTCTCTTTAGCCCCCGTTGACATTTCTCAAATACCTGAGCACATAGCAGTGCTTCCCTTTTCCCATCTCTTTTTAACTAGTTATCTCTTACTCTTTTACTAGTTATCTCTTACTTTTGCTTCAGGTGTCAAATTCCATGTCTCAGCTTAAGTTAAAGCAATCTGCTATATATCCTTACCTTCCTGTATGACGTTTGTAGTTTGAAATTAAAAGTCAAGCGTATTAAAATGGTGGTTTTCTTTTTTTTTTTTAATTTTTTATTGTTGGCTGTTCAAAACATTACATAGTTCTTGATATATCATATTTCACAATTTGATTCAAGTGGGTTATGAGCTCCCATTTTTACCCCATATACAGATTGCAGAATCACATCAGTTACACATCCATTGATTTACATATTGCCATACTAGTGTCTGTTGTATTCTGCTGCCTTTCCTATCCTCTACTATCCCCCCTCCCCTCCCCTCCCCTCCCCTCCCCTCCCCTCCCCTCCCCTCCCCTCTTCTCTCTCTGCTCCCTCTACTGACATTCGTTTGTCCCCCTTATATTATTTTTCCCCTTCCCCTCACTTCCTCTTGTATGTACTTTTGTATAACTCTGAGGGTCTCCTTCCATTTCCATGCATTTTCCCTTCTCTCTCCCTTTCCCTCCCACCTCTCATCCCTGTTTAATGTTAATCTTCTTCTCCTGCTCTTCGTCCCTACTCTGTTCTTAGTTACTCTCCTTATATCAAAGACGACATTTGGTATTTGTTTTTTAGGGATTGGCTAGCTTCACTTAGCATAATCTGCTCTAATGCCATCCATTTCCCTGTAAATTCTATGATTTTGTCATTTTTTAATGCAGAGTAATACTCCATTGTGTATAAATGCCACATTTTTTTTATCCATTCATCCATTGAAGGGCATCTAGGTTGGTTCCACAGTCTTGCTATTGTGAATTGTGCTGCTATGAATATCGATGTAGCAGTGTCCCTGTAGCATGCTCTTTTTAGGTCTTTAGGGAATAGACCGAGAAGGGGAATAGCTGGGTCAAATGGTGGCTCCATTCCCAGCTTTCCAAGAAATCTCCATACTGCTTTCCAAATTGGCTGCACCAATTTGCAGTCCCACCAGCAATGTACAAGTGTACCCTTTTCCCCACAACCTCGCCAGCACTTGTTGTTTGACTTCATAATGGCTGCCAATCTAACTGGAGTGAGATGGTATCTTAGGGTGGTTTTGATTTGCATTTCTCTGACTGCTAGAGATGGTGAGCATTTTTTCATGTACTTGTTGATTGATTGTATGTCCTCCTCTGAGAAGAAAATGGTGGTTTTCTTGGTAGCTTATTCTGAGCAGAAGTGCAGCTTAGTTTGTTTCCATTTGAAAGGTAACAGCCCCCTCAGCCTTTAGTTCCTGGTCTCTTGTTAGCAAAGCAGAGCTTCAGGTGATAAAAGGTGAACAAAACAGTGGCTTTCTCCTCAGGAAGCCCATAATTCTGTAGTGGAGATGGACAGGCAGCCTGCACTCTCATTCTAACCAGAACGTGATAGCTGCTTTGATAGAAGTTACAAAATTATGTTATGAGGGTGAAGAAGAGGGGAAAATTCACATAAAAATATGTATTTTTTTTTTTACAAACCTGAATGTCATTATCTCAGTGTCTACAGATTAAAATGATAGTCTAAACTGTTTTTGGAAATTGAATTATATATAAAATCTTGAACACACTTAGTCACAGCACTTTTTGTACTCAGCTGACTTATTGTTCAGAAAGCACAAATGTAGCCACCTGGCCAAATAGCACATGGTGTACTGATGTCACAGAGGTTGACCTGCTGTGTTTGGTTTCAGGAGGTATGGTATATAGATTTTTTGTTCCGGCTGGAAGAGTATTAAAAACGACACCAAAAGATTTAGATAAAGAAATACTTTGATTTGCTCTGCTGCTTTATTATTCTGTATGAGTTTTGTTTGTAAAGTGCAGGTGTTTGTGCTCATATGAGAGGGGAGCTTTGATCTCTGTAGCTACTGCCTGAGGTTGGCAATCCTGCCCTGAGCTCACCAGGGCTGCTAGGAGCCTGGGAGCTACTTCTTTGGCCAAGGCTCCCACATCCCTGCTTAGCTCCCAGGATATAAAAGATGGTTAGAACTCCTACATCTTCATTTCCAAGGCTCCCTCTCCCTGGGTTTCAGTGAAGTTGACCTCAATGGGGTAGCTTAGACTCACCTACGGGGAGGTGGGGAGGTGACAAATGTTCACTTCCCTTTCATATTCATAGTATGTTTGACACCACACAGGAGTCGATCTGGAACAAAAACATTCTAAGTTTAAATGTTTAACTGCCAACCAACCTTGAGGTTCAAGTTTAAATGTTCTCTCCTTCTAAATGACTTCCATATGCTCCTGAAGGTTTTTATAAATTGCATTTTCTGGATGGCATATTTTTAGTGAGTACAGTTGAAGACTGAGATGTAGTTTGATTATTAAATATTATTTTATTTTAAGCTCAAAGCCTTTTAAGTGGGAGAGTCTCCTGACCTGAAGTGTATTTCAATTTGTTTGCTCTGGCTGCTGCAGGGGAAAAAGGATTATAGGAAGGAGAGGACTGGTTAGGAGTCGGCTGCCAAAGTACAGTCACAAAACTATGAAGACTTGGACTAGCCTGTGTTAGTGAAAGAGGTAGGAGTGCATGGGTCTCGGATAAATTTTTAGATATGAAATCTATAAAACTAATTCACAGGCTGGATGGGGTGCTGGGAGAAGAAAGATATCAAGTATAACTTCTTGGTTTTTGGTCTGAGCCAGGGGTAAAGTATGATGTCATTTACTGAGCTTGGAGAACATGGTGGGAAACAGGTCTGGGGCAGCCAGAAAGTCAGATGTTGATCTATGGCTGTGCACTTCTGAGAGGTTTGTATGTCTGTATGTGCCCTGGTAGAGCGGTGGGGCAGTGAGCTCCACTGAGTTTTGGAGCCAGGGAATGGTCAGAACAGGAGAGGTGGAATTGAGATCAGTTACATAACTGCCATGGATTCATATGTTTAGTGCCTTTTAATTATAGCATATTAAGGATTTTTTTTTAAGAGTGGAAATCATTTCAGAAATTCTAAAGTCTTCTTTTTTTTTCTTTTCAGAAATATTCCCAAGAGATTTGAACTTAAAAGACAAATTCATAAAGCATTTCACAGGTAAGCATACAACTTATCAGTGATTTAGTTAAATAAGAAGATTATCTGCAGTTCCTCAGGAGACTGAGGCAGGAAGATTGCTAGTTTGAGGTGGGCCTTTGTAATTTAGTGAGACCCTGTCTCAAAAAATCAAAGGGCCTGGGGATGTGGCTCAGTGGTAGACCACCCCTGGGTTCAATCTCCAGTACTGAAAACTAAACAGAAATTTAAGAAGATTGTATGCAAAGTACTATGTTAGGTACCGAGGATATGAAGATAAATGTCTAGAAAAGGCTTGTAGTCCAGCTGGTGACATGGATAAATGCTTTTAACTTGTATGAACTATAATGTAAACCAGATTTTGATAAGTAGTAGAAGTATAGACAATGTTTTAGGGACAAACAACAAGTGAATAATTTGACTAACAACCACCAAGGAAGGCTTTCAGTGGACATATTTAAGTGGGACTTTAAAAGATGAATAAAGTTTTCCTAAGGTGAGATATACATTCTGGTCAGTAGGAATTCATTGAGCAAGACGTAAAATTTTGTAGTGTGGTTTGGGAAAGGACAGGCAGATGATGTGAATGGGCTATGGATGAATTTAGGTATGGATGCATTTGGCCAAAGGGCAAATATGTGACTGGAAAGGTAGGTTGGAATCATTGTGAACAATCTTACATTGCATGTTTGTGGGCTCACTTGGTCCAGTGGAATCCCACCAAATAGCTGAGTGTGGTGACAGAGTCGGAAAGAGACCTCTGGAGACCAGTTTCAGAGAACTCGATTCACTTTATTATTGCATAAGCAAGCCTTTATGCATATTCTGTTACTGGGCAAATTTATCTGAGGGCCGTAATAATCCAATGAGTGGCAACCAAAGGGCTGAAAGGTAAACGGCAAAAAGCAGAAGGAAAAGGAAGACACTGTGCACAGGAGGTTGGCCAGGTTATCATGGTGACGGGGCTTGGTTGTGGTCAGTGTTCCAAACCACAAATATCCCGACCCAAGGTGCCCAACACATGTTGAGGACAGAGGACAGCCAATGGGGCACAATAGAAGTTTTTGGAACAGGGGAGAGACAGACTTTCATATGCCACATCTTTTTTAAAAAAATATTTTTTAGTTGTAGATGGACACAATATCTTTATTTTATTTATTTATTCTTATGTGGTGCTGAGGATCGAACCCAGTGCCTCATGTGTGCAGCGAATGCTTTACCACTGAGCCACAACCCCAGCCCTCGTATGCCACATCTTTTTAATTTTATTTTTAATTTAATTAATTCATTAATTTGTGGTACTAGGTGAACCCTAAGGACATTCTGTCACTGAGATACATCCCCAGCCCTTTAAACATTTTTTTTTTTAAATCTTGACGTAGAGTCTTGCTAATTCATGAGGCTGGTCTCAAACTTGTGATGGTCCTGCCTCAGTCACTGAGATTACAGATATGCTCAGCAATAAGCCACATCTTAAGCACAGACAAAATGCTCTCTCTTGACACTGTTTCATTCTTCTTCATATCAACTTTGTGAATTATTTTCAAATCGTCCCATGCCCCAAGATTTGGAAAAATCACTAAACTCATTACCAACAATCTACCCTTGTTACCGCTATTGCCTTTCTGTTCCTAATCATCTCAGCTACCTTTTATTGTTTTATATCTCAGAAATGTAGTTTTTCCTTGTAGTTGTCCCACTTGATCAAATCTGAGGGCCATATTTGTTAACTAAGTTTAATATGAGTGTCATGAAGATCAAGTGAAGATCCACCTACAGCATGAGTGAGTGTCAGGGTATTCAGTGGGACTGTCCTGACTGTGGAGTCTCCATAAAAAGTAGACTCCAGTTGGAAGGATGAAAGTTTTGATGAAGTCTACCAGAAATTTATATGAACAGATGGAGAGAAGCCTCAAGATCTTGCCCAATTTATGGTAGTCCTTGACATTAAAATTAAACACACACATCACTTTAATTTTAAAAAATGGAATAAATGTCTCTGCATATAAATATTAATTCCTATTAAATAAAAAAATTGGAGAACAAAAAGTAGAAACCAAGGATATTAATTTTATATTCTTTATAACCACTTACTTTGTTCCCTACAGATTTCTTTCCTCTATCTGGTGTTTTTACCTTCCAGTCATCCTAGAGGGTTCTATTGGAAGTCAAGGTTCCATTATGTGAGAGGTTGAGAATGCAGAATGAATTTATATTGTTTTTCATAGATCAGAACTCATTACCTCCCACAGAGTCTGGTTTCGGGGAAGTGGGGAAGGACTCTGGAGCAAGTTCTTTTAAGGACAAGCAAGATGTAAACTACAGTTATATTATTTCCATCCGTAAAGTGCTAGCAATTTGTTTGGGAAACATGCCTGTGTTTATAATAAGCATTCTTTTCCTGTCCTCTAGGGCCAGTCACATTTTCAGCTGAATGTAGCAAACATTTCCATAGACTGTATCACAATACCAGGGATTGCTCAGTGCCAGCCTGTAAGTCACTTGGACAGTTTTTTTTTTTTAATCCTATCCAGCAATAAATGCATGTCATTTTAAGCTTTAACTGTCTTCGGGTGGGACATAATAGACTAAACATTGCAAGAGATGCTATTTATAACACTGTCAGTACTTAAGGTTTGTGTGTGCTGTTGAAACTATAAGAACAAAATCACATTCTAGCTGGGAATATATCCAAATCTGAAAATAGCAGATTTCCTTAAAGACCAAAGTGTTTGTTAGGATTGAAGCCTTTTATCATTATTCAAATTCCTTGGCATAAATAAAGTGCTCTCTCACATAAATGAAAAAAAAAAGTAAGATGATTATGGAGCATAAGTCAAAATTTCCTCCTAAGTTATTTTAAAGTAAATATTTTTAATATCATGTCATTTGTACAAAGGGTGCTGGATTTTTCTGAATGTTGATAGCATGTGTTATAAAGGTTGCTCTAATGAATTCTTTTGGATACTTAAATCACTGAAGTTAATGATTCCAAACATAATATTTAAGTGTTATCATTTAAAATATCCAAAGTACGATTATGTGTGGTAACTGAGTTGGCTGTTTTTAAATTTCTTTCCAAGCCTAAACTTCCCTTTAGAGAAAACAAATTTTAAGCAATTTGTTTCTTATTAACTACATTGCTTTTCTTGAGAAATATTTAATTTTACTTAGGTTGTTGCGTCAGATTTGTTGTAAGATTTTCAAAAACAACTTGCATCTAATGGCTCAGAGAAACAAAGCACGTTGGCTTCAAGGCAAAATCACTAAATGATAAAGCAGTGTTGGGCAGAAAGTTCAGGCTTTGGGACCAAACTGTTTCCCAGCTATGAGAGAAGTAATACTTTGAGGCTCTTTTCTCATCTCTAAAGTGAAGACAACAATCATACTTTTCTATTATGTTACTGGGGCAATTAATGGGGAAAAAAATCCATGTTATGCACTTCATACATTAAGTGCTTTATAAGTTATAGATATTGTTATGTGAATTAACGACAATAATTAACATGATTTTCCTGATATTTATAGTAACTATAACCTAATCTACCTTCTACTCCTTCTCCTAGATTACAAAAGATGTGCCAGGTTGCTAACAAGATTGGCAGTGAGTCCACTCTGCTCGCAGACCTAGAAAATCTACCCTGGGAGTATGTACTTATTTATTTTTCTTATGCTGTTTAGTAGTCTTTTTTTAAGTTTTTTTTTTAATTGATGGTTCTGGGCCTTCCACATGCTAAGTAAGCATGCGCTCTATTTCTACTGAGTTACATCACCAACCCTGTAAAGTCTAACCAAAATTTGAACAATTTGAACAATGTAAGAATCCAGGAAGTTGATCAAATCCATACCTACTGAGCTTAATCTGGATTTTTCACTGTGCTTTTTTTTTTAATATTTTATTTTATTTTTTTAGTTTTCGGCGGACACAACATCTTTGTTTGTATGTGGTGCTGAGGATCGAACCCAGGCTGCAAGCATGCCAGGCGAGCGCGCTACCGCTTGAGCCACATCCCCAGCCCTTCACTATGCTTTAACTTGATCAAAATATGCTATTTGATAAAAAAAAAAAATTTTAAAATATCCACTCTAGTGATTGCATTAAATAAGATGAATAACATTTTGGCAATCTTACCAGCCCTAATTAAAAAAAATACTCAACAGGTTTTGGTGTTATTTTATTGTTGTGTGAAAACATTACACAGATAGATATTAGATGAACAGAAATACTTACAGGTCTATATTTTCTTAACTGGTCAAAAGATATAATAAAAATGAAAATAGATGTTAAAATGTTGGCTTACATAGAGTGAGTAAGAAGATATTGGAAAATTGGAAGAGAAAGCAAAGGATTAAGAATATAATAAACATTTAATGATTATCTGCTTTAGATTACTATTTGACAAGAATGAAATGGTAAGTCAGAATATTCATTCTAGTTCAATTACCATAGGAACCCTAGGGAATAATTCAATCATAAAAAGATTCATGTAAATTATAGCATTTACTTACAAAACCAAAATCTATACAAAATACTGAAAGACATTTATTTCTTTGCAAATATTTTTTCTCATTAGTTCTTTTCAAGCGCAGTATGAAGTCAACATATTCTGGTCAGCATTTCAGTACCATGGACAAGTCCCTTTAAGAACCAGATCCCTCAGGCTGTTAAGATGGTGAATGGAAACCATGAAGTACATGTATTCTAGAAGTTTCCGTGAATATCTCACACTGGCCAGTGTAACTCGCTCTATCCCAAATAATTTCACAGGGATTTACTTAACACATCTCACAGGTTTGCTGTGACAATTACTGAAACAATTCTGACCTCACTTTCTGAACAATGATATCACATGTTGTAAAAGTTGCTCTAATGAATTCTTATGGAAACTTAAATTACAAAAATTAATAGTTATTCCAAACATAATGTTTAAGTGCTATAATTTTAAGTGCCCAAATTACTAGTATGTGTGGCAACTTGTTGCTGTTGTTATTCTTATTTTAAAGACTATCATTATAAATTAATACTAATTAACACTATTAATTCTGAATGCTTACAGTTAAGAAAATGAGCTAGATCATTTCAACATTCAGTGGGAAAGTGCTTCCATTGATTACTCTCAATGTGTCTCAAAGCTTTTGGATAATACAAAACAGAAATAAATCAAGAAAATTCATTTGGCTGTTGACCTGTATCGAGGCATATTTATCTCTTTCTTGGTTTTTAATATATTTTATGTAAATGAGTAAACTTTAAGTCCTTAAATCAATATAATAAATGGAAAATTTCCCTGAGACAAGTACTGTATCATAATTTAAAATATGAAGCTAGAGATGTAGCTCAGTGGTAGAGCACATGCTTAGCATACCTGAGGCTCTGGGTTCAATTCCCAGCACCACCAAAAAAAGAAAATTAAAAATGAAATATTCCACAGAAATCTACATTTTTGTGGGACTAAAGTCAGAGAAGGCAGTTGATATTTATGATTCATTGTAGTGTTTAGAGATTTAGTTATTCCTTCTGCAATTATCTGTGATATTATTTTTAATTATTTATTTCACAAGATATTATAATCACAGTATTTCAGATAAATCAATTTTAGGAATTTTTATGAGTTAGATGATATCAAGTTCATTTTGGGGGGTATACTGCACATCATAAAACTTTAATAGGGAAATCATTTTGTGTCTCTAATAGATCCTCTCCTCCTCCACAAACACACTTGTCTGTAGTTTCAGGATTAGACTGTAAATTCTAATCCTAAGAGTCCACAGATTATTAAGCAAAATAACATGTAACTATTAAAAGTATAAATTTTATGTGTGTTAAAAGCAGGTAATTAATATTTTTCTTTTTCTCCCACAGGCATTTCTTAAGGATACAAATCCAGTTTGAAGAAAAAGTGCCTGGAATCATACTAAATGTAAAAAGAGATGAAATTTCTACTTTGTGGATATTAACCTGAGTAAAATAAGGGACCCTCAGAAATAGCAGATCACCTGTGTGCTACTATAGAATGGAATCTTTCTTACTTTATCTTTATGGAATAGTAATTTATAGTTTCTTAAAAGCAGAGTTTAAATCACATTTTGCAAATCGAATGTTAAAACTTATGCTCTTCTATTTTATTTTTGCTAAGAATATTATTTTCTCATATGATTGACATTCCATATGAACATTATGTGAATCATGTCTAAGAGTGCCAGTAAGCAGTGATGCTTTTTGTGTATGATTTTTAATATGTTTGTCAACATGTATAGTCCCACTTTTATAATTCTTATTTAATAATATTTAAGTGTGTTTATAAAGAATTTGTTCTTTATTTACATGAATTTTGAATATGAATTTTATTAAAACTGAAATTTGAAAAAATTTGTGCTTTTTTAATGAAAGGTATTTATGGCAGAGGCTATCCTATTAAAACATTATTACTATACATGTAGATATATAAAAATATGTATTTTCTAAACTAATATCCAGGACCCCAAGACAATCTTTGCCTTTTCAAGTGTTTAGAGATTTATTTATTTAAGTTAGATCATATGGTATTACTGTTTTATAAATAGAAAGAAATCTAATTGTCTTGGACTAGAGTGATGTATGGGAGGGATGGAGAAAACTGGGTACTCTGTTTAGAATGTAACAGAATGCCCTGACACATTAAATTAATTTCATTTAAACATAACAATGAAAAAACTTGGAAATCTACAACAAAGGAGTTGAAAATCCCATCTGTCTAAAGAGTAGACAAAGCATGAGTTTCTTTCTTTCTTTCTTTCTTTCTTTCTTTCTTTTTTTGTTGTTGTTGGACAAATACCTTTATTTTGTTTATTTATTTTTATGTGGTGCTGAGGATCAAACCCAGTGCTTCACACGTGTGAGGCAAGTGCTCTACAGCTGAGCCACAACCCCAGCCCCAAGCATGAGTTTCTTATCAGTTCATAGGCCACACAAACATTGGCTTTTGCCACTTTGCCCTGTTGGTGTGGATGTCATGAAGACAGGTGTCTGTTCTTTCTGGAAGCCATCACTTCTGCTTTTCAGCACCATTGGTCTCTGTCACTCAGCCTGTGGTGTGTATTTTTATGTAACATTCATACTCCTTTGTTCATCAGAAGAGCAGACTCAGAAATGACCTTTGGATTTACAAATATTATAAAGCTACGTTCTCGATTTTCACTTTTATTTTATTTGGCCTGTGGACAGAAATTTACAAATAATTATCATTAAAAAACGTGTGTGTGTGTGTGTGTGTGTGTGAGAGAGAGAGAGAGAGAGAGAGAGATCCTGCCATGATGTTATGTGATGAAGAATGAAACAAATACTATATTTTCAGTTCATTGTACTTACCATAGTAATTATAACTATTTACTACATTTGGAAAAAAATGAAGTAGTTTTTGCATATAACTACTTAAAGAATTGAGAACTATTTTTAGTAAAGTGAGGAGACTATTGAACAATGACAATAAAAACTTAAGTGAGAGGTGCCGCAGTCTGGCTGGGCACAAATCACGAGCCACTGAAGCAGGAAACAAACTTTATTTTTGAACTGCAAGAAAACACTTCACACACACTCCCGAATGCCACGTGGCTCGTCCAGGAACCCCCAGCAGGAAATATCTCTCCCGGAAATCCCTCCTCCTGCACTTCCCCAACCAATGGGAACTCTCGGGGAATCCCCAGGAATCCCCACGAGAACTCCAAAGTAGTGGGAGAACTCAAAAGTAGCGGCCGAGGCGGATAGTAATGCCTCGCCTGTCAACCAATACTGTTGGCAAAATGCCAGGGGCCATACAGACTCGGCTGTGGCTCTCAGCAGAGAGGTATTCAGAAGAGACTGAAAATACCCTCTATGGGCTTCATCATTAGTATGATTTCAATAAAGTCAATTATTTCAGGTGCAGTTCTATGAAATTAGATTTAAACATTCTCATAGATGACTAATGTGCACCATAAATTTGTTCTCTATATATTTAAATCCACTCAGATTTATTAAAAATATTTCCAGTTAATGGGATGTTTATTTTACTACATAACACTCATTTTCTCATTGGATTAATTTAAACATAGAAAGGTTGATAGAGTCATGAATAAAGAGATTTTAAAAATTTGTTTCCATGGAGAAGATTTTCTCATGGGAAAATGAATGATTGAGAGATGAGCAGGATAAAATTTTCATGGTTACTTAGTAAAGTAACATTCACACACCAGAGAAATGATACCATCTAAGCAGCGAAACAGGAGGTTAACAATGTTTTCCCCCAGAGTATTTAAAGCTAGGTGAACTAAGTGGGTTATTCTCAGCTAGGACCCAAGGGATTTAGGCAAGATAACAGTTAAGCTTTGAGCTATCTATAATTATCCTACCTTCCACTTCAGTTTCTATTTTACATCTCTTACTTTGAAAAGTAAGATATAATTACTACAGCGAGCCCTTGATAGCTCCTGGAAAGAAGAAGTGTGCTTTAATTTCTGAGGGGTGGGCAGTGTATGTGTCTTATCACTTTCCATATGTTATGATTGATTGGAAAATCTAACCCTATCTGTAGTAACCTTCCCCCACATTTCCTTGCATAATTTGCTTCTTATCATTTATTAGTCTTTGCATTAATGATATCTGTTCCTTTCTTATCTATCCTTCCACAATGAATAAGGTGTACAAGAGATTGCCTTCTGAAGGATTTCTAGAGCCTAAAACAGTGCCAGACTCATAGCAGACACTTTGTGTGATAAAAGAATAAATAATTACCTCGTACTCCAATGAATGAGGTTAAAGAACACATTGTAACTCATCATGAAAAAAGACAATGATTTATGAAACACTATTGAGCAATTGTTAACTCATCAAGACTCTTTTATGTTTTATGTAAGAACATGGTGTTTATCAAGATTACAAGATTGCCAGCTTCACCTCTATCCTTGCAAATACTTATGCAACTCATGCAACTCATAGATACAAATATGGTGTGTTTAAACTGCTAGAGCCACTTAAACTTGGAGGTGAAAATGCAAATGCCTGTAAGCCAGGTGATTGGCAGGAATGATCTGATTGGGCCATAGACATAGTCTGAAGGTGGAGGCAGGGTTTTAGCTTTGGCCTCTGCTGCCATAGAATGCAGGCTTCCTTTGGGTTTCTCTAGGAAAGCTAGAATCTGGGTTTTTACGAGAAATATCTCAACTTTTATATATTGGCATTTAATTAGAAAACTTAATATGATGGGCCAGTTAAATCAAAAAGTTTGAGCCCTTTTTAACTCTATTACTTGATATCTGATGAATATTTCAATTTGGGTGTTGTTTTAATCAGCTTTTCCACTGCTATGACTAAAGGACTTGACCAGCAAAATTGTAGAGGTGAAAGGGTTTATTTCAGGGCTCACGGTTTCAGTTAGTCCATAGAAGCCTGGTTCCATTTCCCGGGGCTCGAGGTGTGACTGAACATCATGGCTGGAGAGTATTGCAGAGGGAAGCAGCTCACATACTGGTGACCAGAAAGCAGAGAGGGTCTACTGCTTATATACACAAATATATACTCCCAAACCACACTCAATTCCCACCTCCTGCAGCTACACCCCACCACTTCAGTTACAACTCAGTTAACCCTTATCAGGGTATTAAATCACTGATTGGGTTAAGATTTACTGTTGGACCGCAACACAAAGAAAAGACCACCAACTCCAATTTTAAACAAATTAAAGCAAGCTCGTATTTGTGTACACAAAAGAAGCTGATTAGTGGTTGTCTCCCCTAATGCGGGCTAGAGACAAGCAGCCCCAGCGCTCCAAGGAAACAGCCCCAGCTCTCCACTGTCAGTGGACCCGTGATTCCCCCTGGAACACACACATGTGCACATGCACACATATGTATAAACGTACAGCCAGTCTTCCACATCTCTGGATTATACCTCTTCAGATTCAAATAAATGACAATCGAAAATATTCAGGGCTGGGGGTATAGCTCAGTAGTAAAGTACAAGGCCCTGGTTAAATACCCAATACCACACCTACACAGAATATTTTTTTTTTTAATTTCACATGAACTGTGCATGTAAAAGGCTTTTTCTTGTCAATTTTCCCTAAGCAACACAGTATGACAGCTATTTATATAGCACTCACATTATGGTGGGCACTATAAGTAATCTAGAGATGATGTAAAGCATACAAGATATGTACAGGTTCTATGCGTATAATACACCACTTATAAAGTCTGTTTATAAAAAAGGACTTAACATTCCAAAGATTTGGTATTCTGAGAGGATTCTGAAACCAATATCCCACATATACAAAGGGACAACTACATATATTCATATATATGTGTGTGTGTGTGTGTGTGTGTGTGTGTATTTTTATATCATCCATGCTTCATTTGTCACCCATTAGGAAGGGATCCACGGCTTTTGTTAAATTTTTAGAAACACTCATAAAATCCTGCAGGTTAAGAACCATTGATTTAACTGCTTGGAGTCTAAGAGATAAAGGACAAAGAGAGATGCAAAAAAAGGGCCAGACAGGGCCTGAAGACCAGCCCTGGAGGAAGGAGCTAGCAATTTCAGTGAGTTTTTGGGCAAAGGTTCCAGGGTAATGAGTTGAGAAATGAGCGGAGATAAGGAAGCACAGGCAATGAGTACAGGTTGCTGTTGAAGAAGCTTGAGCTACCTGGATGACAAGAGCCAGCATAACGCAAGGTCCCAGGACACCTTGGTCAGAGTTCAGTCCTGTTAAATATTAATGAGAGGTGCAAGTCTGTAGAGCAGATTTCTAAGAAGGTAGGAGGGGATGGATTCTGAAATAAAGGAGAAAGAACTAAGGTTCCTTGCAGGTGTTTGAATAAATACAAAAGTTCACGTTTGTCATGTGAAATTTTGGGTTAATTTTAAACAAACAAATCCTAGTTGTATGAACTTGGATGAGTTACCAAACCTCGTGTGCCTCCATTTTCTCATTGATATGGGGATCAAACCAGTTCCTGTTACTCAGAGAAGCAGATCAGTTAATATTAAAGTGCTTAGGATTCAATGGGCACCATAAATTATAAGTAAATAAATACAACAACATACCAATGCCTGATCTGAATCACATCATTCATTCATTCCTATCATTCTGGCCTTAGGAGATTCTTGTCCCTAAAGGATTGCAGTGATCTTCTGACTAGGGTTTGGTCCTGGGTCTCCCCGACAGGATTCTACTGGGGACTGTCATTTCAATCAGACTTTGTTGGCATGCCATGAAGGAGGAATAATAGCTCTTTATGCAACT